TTTGTGCCTGTTTGTTGGGGCCGTCCAGTTTGCAAAGGTTTTTCCATGAAATGAGTTTTATGAAAATGTCATTTTCTTTTGGTATAATTTCAAAGTTATTTGTTGTTTTCGGTTTTTCAGCTTCCCAGCCCGGTGTGTTTTTCAGACCATCCATGCTTATGGTAAAAATCACGTCATTACCATGGTAGCAGCATGGGAAAGCTGTGTGGATCATTTTGTTTGCAACTGGCGGGGAGCTGCACATCCCCAACCCGCACACGTTTTTAAGGCCATCCATGCTTGTGGTAAGGTTGTGCGGATCATTCTTTTTGCTAATGGGGGGTGCTGCGCCTCTCCAACCTCCCCGGCTTTTTTGAAGCCATCCATGCTTATGGTACAATTTATGGTTTATGCCATTTGCATGGTTGCAATAGGGGAAGGTTGTGCTTGTTTGCGAAAAGGGGATTGCTGCGCCCCCCCCAACCCCCTTGCTCTGCGAAAGTCATCCATGCTAAGGGCAGAAAAAGATCATGTCATCGCTTTGTTTGCCGTCAGGGAGCGTAAGGCAGGATTGTGCGGACTTTTATTTTTCCATCATTATCCTTGGCTTGCCTATCATGCTATTATCATCATCATCGTCATTCTCAACAATAATGCGTGTTCTCATCTTATCATTACTCTTATGATTACTTTGTAGTATAAGTTATTGAGTTCTCGCAGGAGCACCCTAACAATTTGAGCTCTACAATTTGAGCTCTCACGTGGAGAGTCCTTCATATTTTGACATTACGTTGAGCTCCCACGCAGAGTCTCGTCAAATTTGGGCTAAAAATTGAGTTCTTGCATGGAAATTTCCCAGATGTTGACACCAAGTTGAGTTTCCTCATCGAAAATAAATTGAGCTGTCGCGTGGAGCATCCTCACATTTAGGATTGCAAAATGCGCAGGACCACCCCAAAAATCATCAAAAAAACAATCGAATTGAATTTACATCCTTGTTCGTTGTGCTGTCGGGTTTGCACTCGCTGCAGGCTAAAGTTTCTTGTCCATGTGTGCAGATCTGAGAAAGATTGACATGTTCACATTTGACATGCAAGCTTGGTCCAAGATTTTCGGTTGTACGTTAATTTGAAGGAGCGGGGAAGTAGGTATATATTTTTGTCTTTTAAAAAAGTTGTGGTAGCCGCGGAGTTACCCTGTGCCCAGAGCAGGGCTGTTGTGCACGGTTGAAGTTCGGCTCTCAAGCTACGTACCTGGTGTCGGTCGTCACATGTTCAACTTGGATGCATAGCTCGTGGCTGAAGTCTGGGATGAATGGGCTTCATTTCGGATATCTTGATTTGGGATCCCACTGAGTGCAGGACCCATGTGCGTGGTTGTGCAATGTGAATTATTCTGAACTTGAAAATTTTAGATTCACTACGTGATTTGATGAAAAGAAGCGCGAGCGGCGACTCCGGAGCTCAGGAAACCACATTTTTCGATGTCGACGAAATAGCGAAGAGTCTCATCGCATGATTTCATCAACATAAGGAAACCAGTGCGTTTGAATTCTGGTTTTTGCATGCGGACATCTTGCAAAAAACTGTCGGATGTATTGTTGAGATGTTTTCGAAACCAATAGCAACGGTTTGAACACCAGCAGAGCAGGCTTCGGAACATGCAGACATCCAACATAGAAATCACGAACATCTTAGAAGTTCAGACGGGCTAGGAATCAACTTGCACATATCATCACACATCCATTCAAAGGTTGACACAACTTTATGCAGCCTAAAGGAATTGTGCTTATTTTCTCTTCAGGAAGGCGCATAACTTGAAGCGATAGAGTCTATGTTTAATTAAGCTTCGAAAAGTCTATCCAAGCAGATGCTTGAACTTCTTTGGTTGTAGTGAAACAATAGAAGTTGCGCGCGAGAATCGCGGAAACGCAAAAACGCTTTTGTCTTTCGTGTTGTGAACATGCTTTGATATGGCCGTGCCTCGCCGCTGTTTGGCAGAAGCATTTTGACAAGTTGAGTAGCCATGGCAGAAGACGGACTGGTGCAGATCCTGGTGGGCCTGCGTTGTTTTTGTGGTTAGCAATTGGGAAGGTCAAACATGTGTGCGACCGCGACAGTGGTTTGACGTCGATATGCGAACAGGCACTCCTTGTGTTGGACACTGACGGAGGGCGCTTGGCCGTCAAGTACAATTCGTTTGCGCGCAAGGACTGCCGTGAGCATGTCAAGCACCACAGGGCTCGCTTGGTGGTTGCCACCATGCAACATGTACGGAATCATCTTGCCATGAGTGCATGCAATCCGTGTTATCAAAGCCTGGATGAAGGCATGCAATTTGGGCTGACACAGGAACTTTGGCCGACAGTCAAACAGCAAGTTGCGTTCGAAAAACGAGTCCCTTTCTCGATGCCTTTTAATGTTTCTGTAGCAGTGGAGGTGTTGTTGCTTGTATCCTTTGAGGTTATCAACAAATTGCCCAAGCCATCCGCAACTCGAAGCGATGTGGACGTGGCAGTGATTGATGACTACACAGTGATATTTCAGGTTGTGAACCCGAATTCGACAGGATCCATGTTCATGGATCATGTGGCAGGCCTGCAATGACGTGGTTGTCGCCGCAGTGGCCGCATCTAGCGAAAACGAGCTTGTGATGTTGGAGCTCGTCAGAGGCTTAAAGGTTTGTATTGGAAACTGCAGCAGTTCTGAGCCGAGCAATCTGCTGTAGCGAGAGGTGGCTTTGTTTTGAACATTGAGGCCGAAGGCATGTACAATGCCCTTTCGAGTGCGTGCCAGAGTCAAAGCTTCCTGCTCTTGCCTCGGTCTTGAGTTATCGTGGCATGGGTTGGCTGTTCATTGCGGCCTTCTGCATCAGGTCATCAGGATTGACGAAGCAACTCGTGTTGGACAGTCTTTCTGACGTTCTCTTCATTTTGGATGAGGTCTGGTGGTGACGAAATGCTAGCCAAATCATAGGTAGCATGGCCATTCTTTTTCACCAGGTCACCGACAATGGTGTCATCATGGAGACGGACGATGAGAAGATCTCCGCACGAATCAAGATGATCGACGAGACAGAAGTCACTCAGAGTGCCCAGGTGGAGGGTTTCAGGTCAAGCAGATGTGGTAAATGAGTTGTTCCGCAAAAGCCAACTGCCATTGCCTGCTGCAAAACTTCAGTTCATGTTACAAACGAGTGTATGTGAGAGTGCCGACGGTTTGAAGGCCGAACAGATGTTCCAAAAAGCGACTCAAAGCTGCTAGCTCAGCTTCTCCACAGTTGCCGAAGCAGCTAGTTCCAAATCTTGGCTGTGCAGCCCAACCAGATTAGCTTCTGGTCCACGCAAGAAGCTTTGCCATGCAGGTGCAAAGCAGAAACTGCTTGGATCGCTGATGGGCAGCCGGGGTTGAAACCTCTGAGCATTGCCGGACAGTGCGTCCGGCATATGCAGTGGAAGGACTTTCAGTCCTCCACACTTTGCTTTCAGCTAGCTCTGCAGGAGACCAATCCACTCTCGCAAGTACTAGTATGTCAGTATGTGCCATACACACTAGCTGTCACCAGCAGGAGGTTAGAGCTCTCCTCAGGTTGTGGAGTGGGTATTCCTGCATCTTTGTATCACATGCCTGTCATCCCTCTATAAGGGATGAAGGCAATCGGCGGACTATGCCGCAATGTGCTTCTTGTTGAGTATGCATATGTTGAATTTTGCAGGTTCGACCACATATTCGCTTGCAAATCCATTGGAGGAATACTTGATGCGTTTGACAACATCCTTGTTCTGCTGTAACAGTTATGTGATTGTTGGTGCAAAGCGCGTGCCCAGCAGTACATACAAAACCTCGTGCGGAGTGGCAGAATCTGGCCTGGGGCACTCTTGGTCCATGTTCCCTGCAATCCATCAACCCATCAGCATGTGGATCATCAGAAAGGTGGCTCTTGACACAAGCAGGCATGTAGGGACAAACAAATAGTGCGCAGCAAGTCCTGAGCTACATGATCGTGAACGACAACCGGGATGATACCAGAATTCATAGATCCAGACGAAGCAGTTGTGAGTGGATGGCAGGACTCTTGGTGTTGGCATTAACTTCTTGAGGGTGCTCAAACGGCAGTTCTTGTGTGCTTCAGGTTTGCAGACTACCAGGCTGCTTCTGAAAATGAAGGAGGCACGCACGTGTATGGATTTGATCCATGGGGTCTTGGAAGTCTCGCTGGCAGGTGAAGGCATGTCATGGCTCGCTGATGTTGCATCTCGTCCACACAGGCCCCCACTCTATGCTTGGGTCATTCTTACTTCGCTTCATGTTTGCGCAGAGCCAGGTCAGAGAGGCTGGGTGTTGGCGCGAGTCCTCGGGCCAAGGCCCTCATGGCCCTCCATCTCTGCCAGTCATGGCCAATCTAAAAATGCAGAATCCTGCATGATGCCTGCATGTAGGAGCAGCACGCAAAAGATCTGCAACCCCTTGGAAAAGCTGCACGAAAAGCAATGAACAGGAGGCAATGTCAATCAACTGCTGTTCCAATGGCAAAGTTGGCTCTGCGTTCTAGACGGCCATGTGCGTAACAGGCTTCGACGAGAGCAGGAAGAGGCGGAGCATGCTGCTGAAGGCCTTGTTCTTGCAAGCCATCGAGATTTTGCAGCTGCAGGTGCAAATTCGGATGTCGGTATGCCGCTGCGTTGCTGAATCCTCTACGGCTGTTTTGGATCCAGTCCTTCATGGTAGCATGTAGCTAGCATATTGTGCCAGAACATAATTCAAAACTGACCATCCGCACCTGCTTCCTCTACACCAGCATCACCTCCAGTTGAACCCAGAGCCAACATTCGCACGAAGTCTCAGCTCGAGGGCCCCGCAGCTGGCATAGTGCAAAAGTTCCCGGTAAACGACCACAGCACTGCCAGTGATTTGCAGCCTGCTCGTCGCCTGGACTGGTGTGCCAAAGCTTTTTGCGGAGGGCGTGTTGGTGTTGGGTGGGTTGCCGTGCAAGGACTCTTCCTTGCGCCTCTGCTGGTCGCCATGCTCGAGCAGGATGTGGACATCACCCTGAAGGTGGCAGATGTGCTCTGCAAATCAGCCGTATGATTCCTCATCCTCGCAGGTGATTGTCGTCGGGAATGGGCAGGTGGGCAAGACATCCATGCGTGCTTCCCAGTCAATTCTGCTGTTTCCGATGACATGGAGCTCAAGCATGGTATCTCTTGTAAGAGCGTTGCGACAAAGGATCACGCGATTCGCGAAGGGCATTTTCACCAACGAATACAAAAAGACAATTGGCCCTGCTCTTAGAGGACAAAAAATTCGCAACGGGGATTGCAACGAAGCAACCTTGCACTCCAGCTCCGGCAGGTGTGGACTTTTTGGAAAAGAGGATGTTTTTGAAGGATGTGGGTGAAGAGGCCAGCATGCAGAATTTGTTCGTGTAGATGGTTGACAGGGTCTTCCCAGTTTCAACAGCTGTGCAGCGCTGAAACATGCTATTCTCTGACGTTACCCGCCTTCCAAGGTGACTTACCTTTTGTGGGACACTGCTGGGCAGGAGGAGTATGATGCCATCACTAGGGCATATTACAAGGCCTGGCATAATGGCTTTGGAGCTCGCTTGCCACACTTTTGCTGTTTTGGTTTTGCACAGGGAGCAGGGGCCTGCATTCTGGCCTTCTCCACCACCGACCGAGACTCTTTTGATGCCATCGAGTCCTGGTACAAGAAGGCCCGGGAAACTCCATGTTCTTCTCTATCAGATGCTAGCTTTGATGTATTTCTGCTGCTGTCCGTAGGTCCACGATGAGTGCGGGAACCTGGTCATGGTGCTCGTGCAGAACAAGGCTGAGCGGAGTCAGCTTGTGAGGGCCAAGGGCAAACAAGGGACCCACCAGGTGGACCTGCTGGATGAGGCAGTGGTAGAAGCGAAAGAGGTTGAGACGCCCAAGCCTCGGGTGCAGTCAGTTTCAAGCGGCTGACAAGAAGTAGCACGAGAGTATATTCATGATCAGCTGTACATGCGAGTTGCACTTGGAAGAATGATTCAAAAGACTCCGTCTCCAATAAGCTGACCTGTGAGAGGTATTTCTACACGTTAGCAGCTTGTGTGGGCTTAGTAGTAGCAGCCGCACTTATGGATGCCAGCAGATTATACATCATTGATGAAGGTTCTCATTTCATCAGTCAGCTGTTGCAGATGCATGTTGAAATGTCGTTTGTAGCTTACCCACCTGCCCGAAAACCTGCCCGAAATCTGAACTCTTAAGCCGACAGGTTGGTGTTTCCTTTGAGGCTTCGGATTGTAATTCATAAGCAAGACATCGAGAGACCGCATTGACGATTAAGATTCTGCAGCAGACCACCGACCCGAATGAACCGAACCCCTCCAACCCGCATAAAGGCTGGCAAAAAAGCTGCGTCTGAAGCTCTACAGGACATGTCGATGAGGTTCTAGCAAAATGGGGTGCTGAGGTATACGCGGGGGTGTTTTGATTGAGGTTCTTCCTATAACAGAGTACAGGTTGTTCATACGTCCTTGTTGGACAGAGCGGCAGCGGCTGAGATGTTGGTGTGCAAGCTGCTGACAGGACGTGTGTCAAAGATGACCTCAACGTCACAGAGGCATTGTTCTCAACTTGCTTAGCCTGTGAATGCTTACAAGGGCAAGTGTCTTTTTGAACCCCTTGGCATTTCGGCTGAGGTTTTCTCGCACCTGGGCAACGAGTTCGTAAAGAACGGGGGTGAGGCAAGACCCGCCTGGCTTCTACCATTCTTGAGACCGCTGTGCCTTTCTTTTGGTTTCGTAGGCATCAGTTGGCAAAGCAAGCATGATGTCGATAGAGGAGGCGTGGGCGGCTGGATCATGGAATTTTTGTGGAAGTTGGGTATCTGTGCACCTTTAGATGTCCTGGGATGTCCTGCAGGTGGCATCCAAGCCGATGGCAGCGGGAAACTGAGTCATCACGTGTCAAGCTGAAACGCGTGAATGGCCATTGCCGGACTGAGGAAAGAAGTGCAGCTGCCAAGGCCGTGCCGCAGTGTAAGTCAACGGGTAGCTAGCCAGAATGTTTGCCTGCAGTCAAGTGCAAGAGCAGATATGAATCTAAAGCCACGAAGTGGAGATTGAACCGCTTCAAGCAGGCGGGAGGCGCGGCGCCGGCAGACGATGCCGGCGATCAGCCCTTCAAGCTCTCGCAGCTGGTCTCAAAGGGAAACTTCCAGGTTTTGCTTCCACTTTTGCCTGTTAAGGAATGGGAAGCCATCTGTGCAGCGCACGGGCGGGAAGAAGACAAGGTGCTATGGGCTGTCGCATGCATCAGGAAGAAATGTTCCTGTAGCCTGGTTTTCAGCCTGTGAAGGTGTACCATCTTGTGAGGCGGTGGCCTTGTTTCACTTTCGATAGGATCTCCGTCTCGGCTGCGTGCACTATGCCAGTTGCACTTGGTCGGTGGTTTTCTGCAAGCACCAACTTGTGGGCGAACTTGCGCGCATGTCGGGCTTCCTGCGTTTCAGCCGTTTCTTGTCATCGTTTGCCGGCAACAAGCCTTGGCTGATAGATTGACGCAGACCACAGGAAGTTGCAGATCAGTTTCTCACCTTTCGTGCTCCTCACCGGCATGTTTGGGAATTACAGGCTCAGGTGTGCTTTAGAAATGGAGCCCTATAGACCAGACATATTATATCATCGGGCTTGACCCTGTCTTCCAGACATTTCCACATTGCCAAGTGTCCCCGGCAGCCTGGTACGGGAGCTTAGTCGACAGTCGATCGCATCTTTGGATGGGATCCCTCGAGTGCATCTGCAATGCCAGAATTCGAGCACTGGCTGTTCGAGGGAGAGGTCCCTGCTTGACAGCATAATTGAGCTTGAGCCGCTAGAGGCCTGCAAGAAGCAGGCTACATCCTTCGCGTATGTGCACGATATCAGACATGTTTCATGGCAGGCATTGGCTCGTAGAAGTTGCTTGTAAGCAGCCTATAGCAGCTGTGGTCTCTGGCAGTGCACCCTGACTTTCCTTGCACGCCGTTTTGCAGCCAAAAATGTGTCTTCGGAAGTCTGCTTGTGACAGCGCAGACCTCTCAAACCCCTCGGGCCAGGACGACGACAGCTCGAGAAGTATGGGGGAGCCAAAGGCCATTCGCGACGCCACAGGAACAGCCATCTTTCCCCCAGAACAGTCCCAACACCTGAGGCGCAGCCAGTGACAAGTCCATGCGGGACGAAGAGACAGGCCACCAAGCATGTTAAATGCCCCCTTATATGGTATAGCGACTTGAAACAGCTTGCACGATTCCAACACAATGGGATACTGTGGGTCAACGGTGTAGTCACGGGTCATCACGGGTCATCGGGGAGGCTTTTGACGGTGTGAGGCCGCTCCTCCAATACTGGCCGGCGTGCTGCGATGTGTTCGCAAGGACTGGAGTTGGGCATCATGCCAGTGCTTTGTCTTGGATGAATCGGAGCTTACCATTTTCAGGTTCCGTTGGCAGCAGAGGACGAAGCGTGTAGAATTGAATTGGTGCTTTTACTCTTGGATTGGAGTCTGTCAGTGCATCGGGCTGCAGAAGGCCTGGTCTTGCAGTGGGCTCAAGGTCCACTTCATGGATGCAAGCAAGCAGATGCCAAACAAGTGAGCAGAATTTCTGAAATCTGAGTGACCTGACAAAGCAGACAGCACATGTCATTGTGCTAGCACAGCAGCAGATGTGACGCTGCACCTTCAAAGATTGTAGAGGCCAAGTAGCTGCTCTTCACATCCTCCCACCTTCTCACACAAGCCTGCGACAAAGGAACAAGGAGACTGGCCTGCGGGTTTTCTGACAGTATGGCAGGGGCTGGATGTCATGCCTTTGAGATCTTGTGATGCTGCTGTTAGGCAGGGGTCGATGATTGGATGGCCCTGAAGTGGCATTTACTAAGCACGAGTCCCGAACATTTTCCGCGTGCAACAATGTCATGCACCTGGCTTAAAGATGGTGTTGCGACCACCGTCTTTTCTTATTCGTCATCACTTTTAAGTTCTCAGCTTCCAAATTATGATAAATCTGATACCGTGATGCTTTGCCTTCACCAGCCACGAAGGTTAGGAACTCACGAGTATTCTTGTCGTGCTGCCCGGTTAGTTATTTCCCTTGTGCACGAGGCCTCGGGTAGCAGCTAACTGGCATCGGCTCGCCCTGTTCCCTTTGTGGATGAGCCGACTGGATGCAGGAGATCATGTCCTCTGACAAGCTGAGCTTGCTGGGTTCTTCTGCCATGGCCAGGCGTGGATGTTTCATGTGGCCATGAACTATTCAACGCAACCTAAGATCAGGCAGTACATGCAGCTTCGGCTTGGACTAATTGCCGGAGATGGAGGTTCTGGAGCAACATCAGCTGCTGTGCGTTGCACCTGCGCATTGCCCAAAGGTGGAATGCAGGCTGCAGGGCATGAGGTCACGGGCATGCAAACCCTCAAGCGAAAGGCACGCTCACACGTCAGTCTTCACGTCAGTGTTGGATGTGTTCATGGCTCATGTGAATCCTTGAGTTCAGGGCGACGAGCTGCCTGATCTGCCAACCCGAAAGCGGCTTTGGCGGGCTCAGGTGCGCGCTTTTTGATCGCAGCTGCCATAAGAGTGCCACGCATTCTCAAGACTGGATCGCGCTGTGCATGGATCGCATTGATCGACGGCTCTCAGCTTCCGCTTGGCGAATCGCAAAATCTATCTTCCGACCAGGCATGCGAGGCTGACTTGGTATCAGCCATGCCAGCTTTATCCGCAAAGCTGAACTTCGTAGGTCGTAGGATGCACGGTAAGACAGCATCGGAAAGAAAAGCGCATAAAAGCGCCATGGCTCTTGGTCGTGGGGCTGAAATCCCTGTCAATCCCAATGTCAACAAGCACCTTGAAAGAAAGGATTGGATGCTTGTTTACAGCTTTACGCTCACGCTCGTCGTGCTTGAGGTTTGGCGTGGCGGTGTCGTGGGACAAGGTCGGTGTTTGTCAGAGACCACCCTGTTTCGTCAGCGAAGCCTGTGCAGGGGATGCATGCAGTGGATGTTGACCTGCAAGCAGTTATTGTAGATCAAAAAGGTGCCACGATCTCAGAGCTCAGCACAGCGTATGAGAAAGCACAGCCTGGTGTCACAAAAGCAAGGTGATAATAGATGCGGCTTACTACAACAACATGAAGGCCTTGAGGCGTCTAGCATGCAAGCAGGTCCTTTTCCGATCTTGTGCCAGTTGTTGCGATGGTGAGGTGCGTCACGCACTCCGGAGACGAACAGACCGGAGAGAAGACGGGCATGGATGAGACCGTTTGGGTGATGAGCCTGCTCCGAAATAGCTTGACCAAAGCCAGTTTGCGCATGTTTGCGCTGTTACCCTTGTAGTCTTATAGTGGAGCAGCTGAGGATGCAGAGGATCCCTCAGCAGGCCTCCTCATCTTGAAGCATGACGGGTTGCTTTCTGTGTGGTGGCAGGTGAAACTGATCATCTTTGTGGTTGCTGCACACAACCGTGGCGACCTTGGCCTTTGAGCCTTCAAGCAAATCAGGCTCAGCCTGGCCCTGGCCAGGTGGGCAGCTTAAGGATGTGACGAACGGCGTCATCCACGTCTTGGAGGATGTTCCTGGCAATGAAGTTGCGCAGCCAGTCTGAAGTTCCTCACCTTTGATCCAACACTGTCTGGCACGGTATGCAGGGCCGTGCAGCCAAGGAGCTATCGGATGGAACAGAGCCCGAAGGAGGTTGATGCGGTCAACGGCTCAGTTTCTCAAAGCATTGACGGTGATGCTGGTCTGTACTATTTTTTGAACAAGAACTGCATGGATAAGGTGCTCATGATGATTCGGTCCGAGTCCGGGGATTGGAACCTCCGTGTTTTGGACGAGCCTGCTCAGCCAGGCGGTGTCTTTGTCGCAGACATGCAGACAAGGAAGCCGCCTGTGGTGCCTGCAGGCAGGCACTTCATGGATATCCTCGAGCCCACACTGGGTAACTTGATCCGGACACAGATTCCTGGAGCACCAAAGCGGCAGAAGGCTGCCAAAGCCCTTTTGCTGCGTTTGAAGCCAGAGGCTTCGTTTGTGGGCGCAGGTGGCTTTTGCCATGGAAAAGGGATCGATGGTGGAGCTCCCGCCACTCGGATGAATGCTGCGTGGACTCAGAAGCTGCGTGAAACCAGCTCCGTGAATTCAGGCAAAGCTCAGAGCTTGGCAAAGTCACTGCCGGCCTTGGATGGGATGTGAAAGCCGGACCTGGCCCAGATGTGGACTTGGCCCCGCAGCAGCACAGAAGTCACACGATGATGGCAAATTCATACTAGACTCACTAGACTCTAGACCTGGCTGCCCAGGATGTTTCCGTAGTTTTCTTCTCAGCAGACTGCCATCAATTGGGAGCAGTGTTCTTTGGGAATCAGGACCTTGATGCTTTTGTGCGGCTGCCATACCACCCAAGCGCACAAGTCCCAGCCTGTGCAGGAGGAGTTCGGCGTCGTTCATAGCGGTGACAACTTGACAGGCATCAGGGATCGCAATGCAGCCTAAATTGCCACGGCAGTTCGCATTCCCAGATTTAGCTGCAGGCGAAGGGAGTGGTGACGACGAGGTCATAACCGTGAACTTGTCGGCCATACCAGAACGGGTCACGCAGCGACACAGTTGCAGCATATGCGCTTTGTTGCAAGTTTCGACTCATTACTTGTTCTTGCCACACGAGGATGATCTTCTCCGTGAACATATACACCCCAAACATCACCTTTGACCGAGTCTCCAACGCGTATTGTCGCATGTGCAGCCAGGAAGTGGTGAGCTCCGGATTCTTTGTTTGCTTTTTTGCATGTGAGAGGCTTGTGCACTTGTGCACTGGCAGGATGGAACAGAGCTTGCGCGATACGTCCTGCGGGAGGCTATGGGCTTGCTCGCGCAGAGAGAGATGTAGAGATGTGAGCGGTGTGGAGGGCCTGTGCTTTGTTCAAAGCAGGCCCAGGGTGAGACTGGGCTTCTCATTGCCCGGCTCATGCGAGAGCCGGGGCCAAGCCGCTGGGGCTTCCAGGCTCGCGGCTGCCAGATCCATTCAGAGCTGGGATGAACCTTTCAAACGAAGAGTAAAAAAAATGAAGGTGTCAGGCAACACAACGAAAACACTTGCAGGCATCTGGCCTTGCTAGCTTCGTTATGGTCACAAGAGAGAACAAATGGCTAAGTTGCTCATCCAGACTTGGTATCAAGGTGGCCTGCAGGGACCGAAAGAGAGGAACAAAAACAAATTGATTTCGCTCTAGCCCACCCAAATGGGGCAGAAGCCACGGCTGAACCCGTTCAGTCAGCACCTATCCCTGCAGGCGATTGGTACCTTCTGCAAGGGTCGAACATGGAAAGACTCCTTGAGAGTGCCTTGACCGCAAGCTGCAGTGGCACAACGCTTGGCATGAAGCCTTGCTGTGAGGATATGGACCCGGTTGTTCGAGCCACAGCCCGCCAAGTGCAAATGGTCACCATGCAGCCACATGGCCTGTAATGCAAGCGCTGTTATTGGTAGCCAGTGGTCCCTCACAGCCTGCTCACAGCTGTCTTTTGAAGCGCACCATGGGCAAGTCCAAGGTCCACTGCTGACATGGAGCCATCCGCAGCAACTGGCTCTGCGGACCGCCCCATCCTGGCTACCGTCTGATCCCTTGTTGTCTTGAGAGCTGAGTCGCGGGCGATTTTTTGTGATGTGTTGTGTATTAGAGTGCCTGAGGTGGTCTCAGGGCCTGCAGATCAGAAGTGCCTTGGTGCTTGAATGTGTGGATCGGATCTCGATACTCTGCTCTCCACTCCTTGTCTGTTGGGCGTGTTTTGTGAGAACTGCCGGAGTCAGTTTTGGATGATGCCCCTGCTGGCAAGGAAAGACTGCACGGTGCAGTGATTTCTCTGCTCTCCGAGGGAACCATGCGTAGAACGTCCAGAATGTACATAGTTAGCCCGTGCGTGGCATGGACAGCCCCACGAACGGGGCCTGCTTAGCTGCCGCCATAGGTCCTGATTCATGGCAAGTCAATTCTTTTGGATCAGCCATGCATCGGCAGCTTGCAGCGCCGACAGCGTTAATGTAGGGACCTGACTTGATGGGTCATGTCCAGTCCTCCTTCCCAGACACGAGAGTTTCGTGCAAAGTCCTGGGCAAAAATGCTGCCTTTGCTGAAAGACTGGCTGCCGCATTCCTCAACCAATCACATGAGCGATTGTTACCACTGGCAGGTTCCTCACTTGTACGAGCTGGTGACTTGGTGGCAAGCAGTCCCGCAGCATGTTGACTCGCCACAATGGCAATGCGGGCGGCTGCTCGTAAACGTGTGCTGTGTGGCACCGATGGCTGCTTAGCTAGCTTGATGCCTGAAGCGACGTGTTTTTGAGGTGGTTACGCATAGGAGATCTCCGTGCTGCACTGCCTTCGCCTGGTGCCGCGGCAAAGTTTGAATCAGTTGACTAGGTTTGATTGTTTCCATGAAGAGGGGACCCCAAAACTAAATTCCTTATTGTGGAGATTCCCAGCCGAGACTCCCAATTTTTGCAAGCCTCCATTTGGCCAGGCCAGCTGGTGCTGCCCGACTCAAGAGGAATGCCGTTCTGCAGCGGATGGTGCTGGGCAGCTCGAAGGCAAGGCCTTGGTTGGGCGGCAAGGGATAATTTGGGATATATGGGGACTATATAGGCTGGGGTTTCAGGGCGCAATACAATGTTCATGGTATTGGGCCCTAAAACCCTACCAGATACGGGCTGGATGGGACATTCGTTTTGTAGGCGCTTCTGGTGGCGGCGGCCTGGTCCTGAGAGCAATCTCGCCACAAAACCAAGGGTTCTCTCCAATGCCTCCAAGGGAACGGTGATGGAACCGTGAAGGTTAGAACGTAGATGAGGTTTGCCTACCGTGGCCGCAGCCAACTGCTGAAGAGCCGGGCGCATACACGTACAGGGCCGCATAGGGCACTCGATTCAGCCTTATGGTTTTGATAAGGGCTTCTTTTGCATCTAAGGTCAAAGCATCGGCAGCCGTGGGAAAGCTCCAAGGACTGTGTGTTTGATTAGAGCTCAGATGCCAGAGCATCTAGACAGGCATCCAAACCTGCTTTCCATAGCTCCCGTAGGATCTGGAGGATGAGGCGGTGGAGCCCATGGCTCAGTTCGTTGATGGCTGTGCAGACATGGATCAAGGATAACGAAGGGCGGACGGTTGATAGGGGCTCAGATGCCGACTGTCAGGCCCTTCGTGCGCGTCACCCAGTACATGGCCCATGATGGAGTGGAGGCTCTAGCCTGCAGTCCGCCTTGATCCCAGCGCAATCCTTTTCCACTCGTGTCGATGTCCCCGCAAACTCAAGGAAAGGGTGTTTGCAAAATCGCATTGAGTTTAGCATCATGGGGATGGGGATGTTCGCCTGGGTGGGGATCATTCTACATTCTGCTATCCTGAGTCAGAAATGTGCTGATTGATTTCAGGCACGACTACCTTCTGACAGCAACGCAGCAAAGTGGCTCAGGCCGAGTACCTCGGGCAATCCGTGAGCACGAGACGCCACATAGCTGACGGGTTCCAACCTGGCAGGTGATGTGCAGTTATTCCGCCCTGCTGAATGGGAGGCAAGTGTGCAAGTGAAGTGGAAGGAGTGCATTTTGGTAAGGCTGAAGGCTTTGTTCCCCGCAGGCAGCATATCAGAATACTTGCAGCCACTTTCTCAGGATGATTGCTGGTGCTTGCAATTAATGTCTCCCGTGCTGATGGTAGATGCGCCACTGCATGACAACGATAGGCAGCACTCGGAACGTTCACCGCGCGCTGCTTAGCCCCTTGCAGACATCCAGACCTAGGACCGCACGCTCGCCTCGGAGAGGCGAAAGGCCGAGCACGTGGCTTGGCATGGACAGACGGTGGGATTCTCAGCGCACCCTAAACTTTTCCTGACCAAATTTGATAGACCTCAGGCCCCTCGCACCTCCTTGCGGCCCGCGATGAAGGCCTCCTTTCTGGTCCGTGCGCTGGAAACGCTTCTCCTCACCAATGCTTGCAGGTGTCATTTGCTGGGATATAGAAGCAGAGCTGGAAACTGCAAGCTTTGCTGAAGGCAGCTCTTTTGCGTACAAACTTGTCCAGGCTGTTATTGTGATGTCCGAGTGTCAATCTGTGAAACAGGTCATGGAGTGACCACCATGGCTGCAAGTGTCCACCTCAGTGCATCATGGGGGAATTCCATGCCTGAGGATTTTTGCAGGAGCCATTAGCTGAATCTTGAATCTAGAACTTATTCTTCAGAGTTGCACCTTGCACCAGGCACATCTTCGAATGTCTTTGCTATCGGCGCCAGTGATGGGCAGTTGTCCTGCTGGGACACTCGAGCTGGAGGCAGCTCTCTAGCAACGTTCCATTGCACGGCTGAGCCGTCTAGAAACTCGCCATTGCAGGAACAGCCACTGTTTCTTGGGCTGCTCATCGGGGATTGGTGCAGTGTGCATCTTTCACAGACCAGCAGTTGGGTCCTGGCCGATGCCTCAGCACTTCGACTTGGAAACCTGAGCGTGACAGAATTCGGCTTTGGCTCTGAAGCTTGCTTTGCAGGTTCAGAGCGGCTAGCGACGTGTGGTGCAGACGGCAGTGTGCAACTTTGGGACGCAAGGTAGGGTTGCTTGGCTGTTGTCATGTATGGGCAGGAAGACAGCTACTGCAGATTCTGAAGCCTGCAGCATCAGCGGTCCAGTTGTAGTGCGAAGTAGTCATGAACGACTGCAGGCAGCCGGGGACTTCGCTCTACAGATTGAGCTGGCCAGGTGCCCCGGCCCTGAGACTACACAAGCAGTAGTGATATATTAGTAATATGTCAGTATATGTTGCCAATATATTGCTAGGATGACTACTATTCTCATTATCGTTTTTAATGTTGTTTGTACACTGTGTGTTACCGGTTAACCATCAGAACCATGGGTGCCTTGTGGTGTTGGCGGCAGCCGTAGTGGTCGTAAGCGACCTGCTTGCACAAGATGGTGGTTGTGGTGATCGACAAGGGAAAGAACATGCATCACTTAACGGATAGAGTTGCCTCTTGCTTGCTTCCTAGTGGCGCTGTTCAGGCAGTGCGTGCGATGGTGTTCGGCACCTCTCCTGGGCTCCTGGCTCTGGCAGCATGTCTCACACCTGGACATACTGCAGACATGGCCGCTTGATGCAGCACGTGTGGTTACATTTGCTTCCACCAGCTTCCTCAATCTCTTTCTCGCAGCCACGTGCTCAAACTTGTAACCTCTTGAGCCATATTGGCGTAGCAAACTTCATGGAGGCCACCTGTGAATTTCTTGATCCAGTGGAACGGATTTTCCTCGTGAAGCTTGGCTTCCCAGGAGGAGGACGTGAGGAGCGGGGGTTACCTGATCAGCCCACCGGCTCCAGGAGCCGCTTGGCCAACATGGAGACTATGAGGAAAATCCTGAATACTGGCAGTCGAAAAGGACTCTTTGTTTGAGGTATGACTATGAGGAAGACATCAGGTGTCAAAAGATGTTCCTTCACTTTGCCACCCTGCAGCTGCTCAGGTTCGATGCGAGGTGCGGGGCCTCAGCGTAAAAATCAGAAAGGTGCGGTGACACGCTCAGCAGAGTCTCACGCAGGAGATACAGGTAGACAGCGAGCTTATCCAAATTCTGTGCCATCGCAGCCGACGTCGCTTGCGGGACCTGCAGTTCTCTTGCAAGGCAAGCTTTCGCTTAGGAATGTGCGGATTCTGTGGTAGACCTTTCTAGTTACCCATTTCAGTCTTTCCTTTTCCATCTCCTTTTCCGTTCATTTTTGTTATTTGACACATTTTGACACTCTGCTAATCCGGATCGAGTGTCAAGCTTCGAAAGATGCGAAACCCTGTGAACCCCCTATAGCCGATATCTCTTCATAAATCTGCCTCAAAGATCCTCAAAGCCTCCAGGTTCCCCCCCCCTAATCAAAAGGGACCCACCATAAGGGCCGTAGCAGCGATTCTGCCAGGTCACCATGCGACTAGATCGGAATCGGCAGACTTTGAGCCTCACAGGCTCTGAAGCCGGCATCCAGGCCTGCTTTTGGAATTGATTCCATTCTATACTATAGTGTAGTCTAATATACTATAATATACTATAATACACTATAATATACTCTAACATACTATTATATACTATTATAGTATATGATATACTATAATATACTTTAATGTAGTAGTTTCCATTTTCTTTGCCATCATCCCTACATGACCCCTAAATACTGCATTACAAGTTTGTTTGGGTTTTTCTAGCTGTCAAGCTCGGGACTGGACAGGCGCAGTAGCTTGCTGGTTTCATTTACACTTTTTCCTGACAAAGCTGTGTCGCGCAGATGGCCAAGCAGCAGATCGAGGGTCTATCAGGCCAGGTCGTAAGAAAGTTCCAGTTCTAAGAAATCAGGGGTTGCAACAGATGTGCCTTAGATGCCTCTTGCAGATTCCCTGCGTGAAGCTCCGGTGTTCTGGAAATGCCCATGCCTTTGACATGTGCTAGCATGCCACAGAACATAATCTTTTGTCCGCCTTGCTTCAGAACAGGTTGCGGGGTTCACTCTCTGCCCTCTTGTAGCTTGTACCTCTTCAAGTGATGGGTCTCACTGGTTACATCTGATTCAGAAAATGTGGACCTGCCATGTAGAAGTATTGCGAACCGGGTCTACATGCTGTGCACACGGACGGGAAGTCTGTGCTGTCCCATGGGCAGGTCCTCGACACATGGTGCCTTTGAAGGCGGGCTGCTGTTGCTTCAGGGTTTAGGGTAGAAGCTTTTTCAAAAATGGAGCTTCCTTGGACAGAACGACCAGTTTCTGTGAGAGGATACGCCTGTTTGAGACATACTCATGCCGCATGCCAATTGTAGGAGAAAGCTGCA